AAAGCAGCCTGGGGCTGTTTAGAGAGGCAGTAGTGCTTCCTTTATTTAAAAAAGAGAGAGAGAGAGAGAAAGTAAATTATGGAATATACAAGAAAGTCCTTGAGCTACAGGGGAGGCTGAGGGGGAGCAGAGAAGAAAAATCCATATCAGTCTTGATGAGGTCAAGTATGTTTCTTCAACATTTGCCATAATTATCTGGGAAATACCTGGCAATAATGGTGTCATTAAACAGAGCTGTGGGAACTTAGAGAAAACACTTCATTTCTTCCCTCCTCCCCCACAGACATTGCAAATGAGTTCACGCTGGATTTAATCTTCCAGGCCTGGTCTGCTGGTGTCACCACACAAATGCAAGCTTGATGGCAATGAATAATCTCCACATATCTGGCATTGTGATTAAATGAAGCATGAGGGTAGGCTTCTGCTCTTGCATACAGCAGAAGTAAATGAGGCCATTCTGCAGAGAACTCTTCTGCACGCGTCCCTCGTAAGGACTTTGATACCCTGAATTATCACAATGCCAGCTTTCAACAGGGTTAAAACAGCTTTCGACAGGAAAACATATGTCTTGTGAAGAATAGTAACACTGCGCTTTGTCTGTCTTTTGCTTCAGGTGCAAGACGAAACTTAAGAAATGATTTGCTGGTGGCAGCAGATTCAATCACCAACACCATGTCTTCTTTGGTAAAAGAACTCAATTCTGGTGAGTGAGGCTAACGAGCGTGGATAGTCACCCCATTGACATTTCACATGTATTTGAAAAAATGGGAGGTAGGAAAATATAAACCGACAAACAAGCAGCGTAATGTGTCTTCAAAGCTTTTTATGCTTTTAGAAAAAAAATCTGTAAATTACAGCTTCAGGAGTATAGCAGTTCTGAAAGCCATGGATGTAGAGGTGCAGCTGGATAAAGTGAAAACTTTGAGAAGTGTATTTGTGATTCCGTATGCAGTGGAATTTCACTCTTTAGAAATTTCATTCAGTATAGAATATATAGGACCTGTTGTAAAATGCTGTCTGTGGTACTCTCTTAAAAATATCCTACCTAATAACAGAGATAAGCAAAAGCTTCACTATTCTGTCCCACCACTAGAAGAAAACTGTTAGCTCTGCAGACATATATAGAATAATATACTGTTATATGTGTATGTAGAATAATATACTTGCTATGTGGAGGTGGCATTTGAAGTTGGAAAGGCAGAGAAAGGCTTAGAGGAGCAGGCAAGTGTACTTACTCTTGTGAAAGTTAAATGGAACCATGTGTCACCTTTTGCTTCACAGAAGTGGGCAGCGAGACAGAAAGCAATGTGGATTCTGAATTTGGACGGACTCATTTTGATGACCTTGTTCCGTCCCCAACATCTGAGAAGGCTTTCCTCGCGCAGATCCATGCCCGGAAGCCAGGGTACATCCACAGCGCCGCTGCCACCGGCTCCATCCGCAGTGACATGTGGGCACCTACTCCATTTGCCTTCTTAATCTCATTCTTTTTCTGTTGAAAACAACACACGGCGTGTAATATTTTCCCTCCCTCTCTATTTGATTACCAAAATAAATGCCAAAATCCAAGCGAGGACAGCATCATGGTTAGATAATAGTGAGCTCTGTAAACAGTAAAGGCCAGAACATAGGATGCCCTCAGGAGTGAGCTGTCTCACATCCAGCCTGGATGGCTGTGGGACAGCTGTGCTCCCTAATATGCCTTGCAGTCCTATTCCCTGCTTATCCAGACTGAGGGACCTGTTGGAGCCCACTGGAAAAAGAGAAGTTTTTAAATGGAAAAGGGAGAATGGTTTTTATTGACCAACTCAATTGATCAACAAACCGGTTTATTTTTAGAACCTGAATATTCCTATCAAAGACAGTAGGCATCTTTCCGGTTCTTTTTAGTTCAACCTCTTTGTATCAAGTTATCAGGAACTTTTGTTACTCAATTCCATAGCGCTGTACCCCCAAAACACCTTCAGCAGAATATGCCCTTTGGTCTACTTCATCAATACCAGACCACTGGAGGGAGGAAATAGGAGAACTGTTTTCCACTGCCAGTGGAGCATGTGGTTGGACTGAAAGTATCCCGCTCTCCTCATAGCTTACAGTAAAGGCAAGTTTTATTGACTCTGAATGTCATTCATCTCAGGAGTCTATTTATTAATAATTGTCTTTAGGGTTACAGAAGATGGAGACCCCTATGTCAGAGCAGATGATGAAAATTATGAGAATGACTCTGTCCGCCAGCTGGAGAACGAACTGAAGATGGAGGAGTACCTGAAGCAGAAGCTGCAGGATGAGGCATACCAGGTGGGAGAAGGACACCAGCTGCCCATATATCTCCATAAATGAGAAACAATAATGCACCGTAGCTGCCCACTGCCCTTCTTAACCTGTCCTGGGCCCTGGGGCATGATAGCTTCTCAGTTACTAGTGCAGTCACATTCCAGAAACTGCTGTTGTTCTCTTCCACAGACACACATACATCTAGCCATGCATACCCAGGAAGACCCCACGGCCTGAGGCACACAACAGTAGTCCTTAGGGCAGCTTACCAGGGTATCGGGTGGGACAGAATTGCCCCTGAGCCTGTTCCCTGCCAGTGCACACCGAGTCACTTAGACCTCATTCCCCGCTGCCATAGAGGCTGGTTGGTGATGTCAAGCTGAGTTCTTGTTATATTTAGATTATTTTTTTTCTCCAGTAGCAAAAAAGGTCCATAATGGTTTCTCCAGTGTGAACTGAAGCTCAACTGCAGTCTGTGTGTTATTGTCATTGTCAGAATCTGGAAGGAGAGGAAAGGGTCTGAAATGAATTGTATCCCAGAGGACCAAGTATTCAACAAGCATCTAGTACAGAGAAGCCTGGGGATTTGTCATTAAACACCCCCTGAGGAAGTTTTCAAAGGGCTTTTGTTTAAGAGTCTGAGTAAAGCAAATTTGCCACGGGGAACTGGAATTCTGTAGATATGCTGTCCTGTCTGTGTAGCAGTCTCAACTTCTACCTGGTGTAATGACTATCACTAGTTTTTAAGTTTTTCTGACTTGGACCATCCTAATATAAAATTCATTACTTCTTATAATGTTGGTAGTAATGTCAGTAGGAGGGCACACCAAGCTTGGTTATTTGGGAGCAGAGCTGAAGCAAGCAAAAATAACTATTTTCTTTTATGGTGATCAATGAAAATTTGGAACTCAGCACTACAGAATATAACAGAGACCAAAAGTATAAATGGGCTAAAAACAGGATTAAGCATGTACTGAGAGATCAGGGGTATGGAAATGAGGTTCAAAAGCACCTTCTGGGCAGGATTGCTTTAAACTGCTGATTGCTGGTAGCTAGCAAAATCTAGCCTTTTTTTCTGGTAGTTTTTCCCTAGTGTCCACTGCCAGTCACTTTGGAGACAAGAATCTGGGACTGACGGGCTCGTGAGCTAATGAAGAATGGCTGCTCTTTTGGTCTTCTTTTCTGTAAAGCTGCTAGGTTAAGTTAGTCTTGCAAAAGTTCATTGACTCATATTAAAATTGCAGGTAGTTTTGAGGTTGATGTGAGCGTGTTTTTTTGTTATTGTTTACTTAGGTCTGCTACATGCCCATGGTAGCCTGCCAAAAGTCATTTCATTGCAAAGATCTTTAAGGACGTGATACAGGAGCAGAATTGTTACAGACTATCTACTAAGGCAACAGTGGGTGACATGGGGGTTTTTGTCACAATTTTTTATCCAAGATAGGAAATGGCAAAAATGACAGCCGTTAAACTTCTGAGCAGGATGAGCAGCTACTGCTGATGTAATGGAAAATAATTGTCAGTTATAAAGAAGGAGTACCTCAACGGTGACAGCTGTCAAGCATCAAATGATAAATGTTATTATTGCTGGTAAAAATCCCATTTTCTCCAGAAAGAACAGTGGACCAGTTTGACTGTACTTTGATTACAGTATGGAAGTGCAATATATGGCAACAGTGTTACATGAGTTTCACAGGTTACAGCGGGATGTTGTACACACACAAAATAGAGTATGCGTGTGCACTGCAAAATAAGGGCATTCGTTGTGAGGTAGAATTTATCTATGTCACTCGGTAGAACTGGGTGTTACTCTTGCTGCAGTCAAAATAGAGTTTTTTCTACTGTCTTCCAACAACATTCCCAGAAGAAGGGGAGGAAAGCTTCTCCCTATTGATGTCAGAATAAAACTCCTTTTAAATTAGGTCAGCCAAGACTACACCCAGGTGAACTTTGTTCCCCATTGTTTTATACAATTTGTTTCCACTGGGAGGGGGGGAGACACAGAAGGAGATAAAGGCTTATTTCTTTTAAAAATGTATTCACTGAGGGAACAGAAAGTCCTCATTCTAAACAAGTTCTGTTTAATAGCATTTTTCCAAAAGAAATTTCATGATGTACTTTACTTTCATGATGTACTTTACTGTCCGTGAGATTGTCAGCTCCTATCAGGCAATGATTTGACAGTAGTGACTTGTAAGTAGAAACTATTTTTAGTTGATAACCGTGGACCCAAAGCACACAACGTGTGAAGTCCTTCCCAGTATAGCTGATGCCCTTCCAATTAGGGAATAGGTTTAAGGGAAGCAAGAAAAGGTATTAAGTTAGACGGGACTACTAGGATAATTAAGAGTTGGTTGGATAGTATCATGTCTTGATTCTGAGACATGTGCTTTGGCTTTTGCTCGTTCTCTGCACTCTGCAGTTAATTTGTGGTACTTTGCTATTCTATTCCTTCTTCTACTAGTATCACTGAGTAGTCTCTAAAGATAAAGACACAACTTTCTACTTGCAAAAACAAAGGGAAATTGGGAAATTTCTGTGTAGGGTATCCTATTGAACAGTGGCCAGGTCAACTTTTCTCATTTTGCATCAAACCATTGGAATTTATTACAGGCTATTTTATTATTTGTACTCACATGTACACTGCATTCATCTGGATAGCCAAAAAAAGCTGGTCGCTGTAGCTATCATAATGCAATTGTCAGCTGAAAAAATCTGTGAGGAGGAACTCCTACTAAGGTTACAGAATGGTAACCTCAGTAACAATATGGTAACCATTTTTATGTTATTAAATGTCTCACTTCGTGTAAAGCAGCACATTTAGAAAAACATGTAGATGTAGTGTAGCATGGAAGATGGTTGGTCAAAACCCACTCTTGTTATTTTGTGTCACCTTGTCTCCAAGCAAGATTTTCAAGCTAAACTCTAAATTAGTATTAAAGTATGAGCAGAAAACCCAAGATGCAAAAGGAAATCTGGGACAGGGAACCTCAAAGGAGGCTTCTTTCTCTCTCTTTTTTTTGAAGCATGTTGTAAATAACAAGTACCTGTACCAGAAAAAAACACATTTAGTGCACAAGTGTAAATGCTAACAATGCTCATCCTCCCCCATCTGCTACCAGTTGTGTTCTTGTTAGTCTTCTGCTGGATGTATTGTGTAAGACACTTTTCATTGGGCTAATTTTCTGGGTCCATAATTGCTCCCTTTATTTCTAGGCTTGTGCATGGCTTTCTTCAGAATAATACACTGCCTGGCTGCTCACTGGCTTAATTTGTCATCATCTTTTTTTCTATCCTTTGTTATCTACAGGTCAGTTTGCAAAGTTGAGTGCAATATCCTTCTCTCTCCTCTCAAGTAAGTATCATTATACTTTAGAAGACTATTTGGAATTAATCCTCATGTATTTTAGTTGTAATGCACCTTATGCTGCCTAAGTGTATGTGAAAATGCTGTTTCTTTCTTCTTTTAACCTGTGTTAGGATGCCTAGGATTCTCTAAATCATTTCTAAGTTTTTGAAATGCGGTCCTAGTCCCGAGGATTTTAAGCCACCACCCTTTTTATCTTCTTTTTTGTTGATGTTGTGGTTTAACCCCAGCCAGCAGCTCAGCCCCACCCAGCCGCTCACTCCCTACCCACCACGGGATGGGGCAGAGAATCAGAAGAGTAAAAATGAGAAAACTCATGAGGTGAGATAAAGACAGTTTAATAGGTAAAGCAAGAGCCACACACGCAAACAAAGCAAAACAAGGAATTCCCTCCCCACTTTCCATGGGCAGGTAGGTGTTCAGCCATCTCCAGGAAAGCAGGGCTCCATCACGCGGACGGTGACTTGGGAAGACAAACACCATTGCTCCGAACATCCCCCCCTTCCTTCTCCTTCCCCCAGCTTTATATACTGAGCATGACGCCATATGGTGTGGGATATCCCTTTGCTCAGTTGGGGTCAGCTGTCCCGGCTGTGTCCCCTCCCAACTCCTTGTGCCCCCCCAAGCCTCCTCACTGGTGGGGTGGGGTGAGAGGCAGAAAAGGCCTTGACTCTGTGTAAGCACCGATCAGAAACTCCCCTGTGTTATCAACACTGCTTTCAACACAAATCCAAAACACAGCCCCATACCAGCTACTGTGAAGAAAATTAATTCTACCCCAGCCAAAACCAGCACAGTTGTCCGTAAGAGTGAGAATGTGGGCTTTCCATCCCTGGGGATGATGACAAATGTATTAGCCAGTAGAGAGAAACCTTATCCAGAAGATAGGGAATCAGATTACATTTCAGGAGTCCTGAGGTCAATTCCTTACAATGCTTTAGTCTTCCTAGGATAACTGAAATAAATAATTTCTGGTGAGACCGGGACATCTACTCTAGTATGTGAAACAGGAGTTAGGCAAACATTAAAGCAATCAATCCACCAGCTGCTTAACCTTAGAGGTGTCCTCAGATGTCTTGTGGAAGTTTAAAATGCCTCAATCCAAAGTGCAGGGTACTCAGCTACTAGCTGGAGACTGGCAATTCAGAGATAAAGCAAGAAGGTCTATAAATTCCCTGCTGGTCTCTATTCGGGTTGTGTTTCTTATACGTGCCAACCTCACAGTTGTAGCACTGAGTTTAATGCCAAGTTCAGCAATTGTGTTTTCCTTCAGGAACACAGACAATGGCTATTTTTATGAAGTAGCCTGTTATTCTGAACATTTGCCCAGGAAATGGGAAACCATACATTTCCTTCTTGCCTCACCTGAAGCTGTGAACTCTGCATTTCTGACTTCCTAGGGGAGTGCAGTACCCTGCTGTGAAGATGGCAGTGAGACGGTGCTGTCCATCCTACTGTGACACTGAACCGTGGGGTGACGGGGCCAGAAAGGGAGGAGAAGTCAAAATAGGGGTCTGACTCTGGTCCGCAAACTGGGTTTCTTCCTCAAAGCCAGAACTAAAGACAATCGAAGGTCAACTATCAAATGGGGACTTCAGGTTGGAAGCAGGGTCATGTTCAGATAAGCAACACCAGTGAACTAGCTTGTGCCACCTTTAGCAGCAATTCCTGTTGATAGATTTTGTATGCCATGCTTTATGCTAGACCTCCTTATTTAATCTGGCAGAGGTTGCCCAGAGAAGCTGTAGATGCCCTCTCCCTGGAAGTGTTCAAGGCCAGGTTGGATGGGGCTTTGAGCAACCTGGTCTGGTGGGAGGTGTCCCTGCCCATGGCAGGGGGGTTGGAACTGGGTGGGCTTCCAACCAAACCATTCTGTGGTTCTATGATTTATATAGCAATTTGGATGGGCAAAATCTGACCCTGATTCAAGGGGTTTACAACTTCTGATGACAGTGGAGTTTGGATGTTAAAGTGTGGAAAGTGTGGACCTTGTGAAAGCAGCTGCCAGTTTTCAGTGTTAAAAGCTGATAGGTATTTCTGAAGTGTCTATCTTGCTGTCTCTGGCAGCTAAAGCAGAATAAATGGATGTGAAAAGCAAATAAATGGCAATACCCAGAGTACTATAAACACCAAATAAATGCTCATAAAAATTCTCCTAACGTTGCCCCTCAGGTTACATTCGTTTTCTCAGTAGCCTTGTTAAAAATATGAGCTGTGTAGAGTTTTCTAAACATTGACAGCCAGAAAAATAAGTTTTCTTACTCTGTTTTGTTGCAGTTGTCAGTTATAAATCAGGTCACATGAAAAGGAAAATAGATCTTTCAACAACAATATATGTGTGTATAACTATGTATATAGTGGAAACGTTATATATAACTGAATTTAGTTACAATTATGTAGAACTATGACTTTAAACAGTAGTAGCATTCAGACAAACCATTTGCAATATTAACTGGAAAAAAATCCTTTTCATTAGAATTATAAAGCTCAGGCAATCCCATTTCAGGTTTCCTTTTCTGTTAGGAAGCAGGGTTAACACAGTGATGTGGGGAAACGCACACTGCCGTGCAGCCTAGCTTTCTTGAAAATACGTATCCTGTCTCAAATTAGCAGAAGTCTGAGACTGAGCTACTATCTCGTCTCCTGGATGTGAAACCCTGTCAAAAAGAAATTTTGTAAAGCACTGTGCTCTGGTTAATTCCATAGTGAAACTCTTTTTGGCTCCCAGGGGAGCACTTCAGCCGGCACCAAAGACTGAAACATTCCCACCAGTTGTAAAAGCCTGGCCCTATAGAAATTAGCAATAAAAATCAATGAACTCAGCACTTCACCTATAGCCATGAGAGCAAACTCTGTATTATGGTACATTGTGATAAATACGTCTGCACATGATAAGTATGGCTTAGTCTTCTCAAGATTCACTCTCTTGTGAATGTGGAAGACTGTCATACCGTGTGTATTTTATTTGGTGCTAATATTTGGTAGCCTTGGAAAATGAAATCCCGAATAGATCATACCAGTCACAATGTCTGAAGTGCTTTTGCTGTTTACATTGGGTTCTTGCTTGAAGTTTAGCAATTGCATCAAGACTTTCTCTTCTAAGATAATATTATTCAATCAATGATGATACAAATACAGTGTTATATTGCCTAGATGGCCGTATGAGGTAGAAAGCCAACAGACTTTCTTATCTCACAGCAGTATTACATTTGTGCTATTTTTAAAAAGGTGGGAAAAATAGTATATTATAGCTTCTTATGAGTGATATTGCCACTGATGGCCAGCCACAGAATTTTTTTAATTTCCTCATTCATCAGTCATGGACAAGTGGTATTAATGTCATTTGATTAAGGCTTTTTGCGTTCTGTTTGCATTTGTATTTTTAAAAGTGCTACATACTATTCTCTAGAATTGATTTTGAAATAACATCTGGTATAACAAATTCACAAGAGAGCAAGTAGTTCCAGTAGTATGTAAAATACAGTTTAATCATGTTTTCAGTTTACTTTTTATGTTAAATGTACTTTAATATTTTGGATTATTCTTAATGGAGTAAGAGTGAATTTGAGCTTGTTTTCAGCAGGCTCTAGGCAGGTCTTCAAATTAGGGAAACGTGCAACTTTGATGTTATTTTGCCTTTATCCCACTGATAGCAGATGTTTTTTTGCCAAGGGTGGCCAATGGGAGCAGAAAGCCTCCATCTCTGAAAGTGGTTAAGAAGTTGTTATTTTCAATGAAGCGCTGACTTGTGCAGTGGACACGTTCCCATGAGACCTACAAATTCCTAGATTTTCTAAAGCAATGATTTCTTAGCGCTGGCGTAGCAACATTTTGGTTGGTCGTGTCTAATTCATTTGTAGGTATTATTACAACAGAAAAGGAGGTGTGAAAAGCTAATAAAAATCAAACCTAAAGCAGTCACTTGAGAGGGAATACAGAGAGGAATCTTTATTAGAGGTTTTGTTCTCAATTTTTGACTATGATCCTATTTCTCTATCTTCACAAAAACATGTAATAATTTAAGCTGAAGACTCAATTCCATTCCCACTCCCACCCCTTTCACTCACTCTAAGCCTTATGTTGTGAGGTCTGGGGCTTTGGGTGGCCAGAGGTGACATTTTCCATTGCAAAAGTGACTGAATGGTTTGTACTGAAACAGGTGAAAATTTTTCTGACACAAAACCACCAAATCCCCTCAACTTCTTGATATGAATGCATTGTTAAAAAATTATTATTCAACTTAACTGTTTTTCCAGGACAGAAGTCTTATGGAGTAACACCTTCATGTTTTTCTCATCTTTTCCCTTTTTCTCCAAACTCTGTTTGCATATTTACCAGCAGAGATTAGGAATACTGCCAAATGTCAGGTGATAAGACCCGTGAGCCAAGGGAGATGGTGTGGTCTGCCCGCTGTGCCACTGCGAGAAGGGCTGTTGGTTAAGCCAAAGGGCACAGACAAATTGTTTAAGTGCTGTGAAGACAGAACTGCCCTGCATCTCTGTATTTCTCTGGGAAGGAAATAAGATTTTTGCGCTAGCGTGCATTTCACTGGCCATTGACATTTTCAGCCCTTGGCAACATGGACCTGGCCGTTTACTGTTTGGGGAAGATGGGATGCAGGGTCTGTAGCCCAGGGTCCAAGCCAGGCTCCTAGTGCGGGTTTCAGATGTGCCGTGCCCGCTGCCTGAGGTCACATTTCCCAGCTGTGCCCTGGCCTCTCTTCGGCTGCAGGGCCCCGAACACTGCTGGTCGGAGCCGGCTGGTTGCGTTTAAAGCTCATGCACTGCCGTTCGTTCCTAGCATGGGCTTCGTGCCAGGAGCTCAGGACATCTCAGAGGTGTAGGTGCGTTGGTTGATTGGACCCTTAGGAGATCAATTGGTCCAGTCTCCCACCTGATGCAGGTCTAGCTCCAACACAAGACCGTGTCAGCCATGGCTTTCTCTAGCAAAGACTTTAAAACCTCCACAGATGGAAATTTCACCACCTCTCTGAACGTGTGTGTCCCCCCCGCCCCCGTACAGTGCCACCCTCCTCATGGTTTTTATTTGTACCTAATGTCCAACCTGAACCTCCCAAAATGTGATTTGTCCTTTTTGCGTACTTCAGCGCTGCCAAGAAGATTTTGGCTTTGTTGTCCTTGTAACTACCCCTCCGATAGCTGCTAACTGATCCTCCCTTGCCACCTCTGCCCCAGCCTTGGCAAGCCCAATTTCTTCAGCCTCTTCCTCCTCAGTCAGTGATGCAGTGGTGAAGAAGCAGGACACGGGCACTGGATGAACTGCTGACATCCATAAGTCAGACTCTACTAGCGCAACCAAATGATTTGGCGTCTCTCTTTTGGGTTTTCCTGAACAAATATATAAAAACCAGCATTATGTGGACCATTCTGTTTGAAGGTAACAGCAGGCTGACGGCACAGTAATTTTCAAAAATGTCTGCTACATTCACTCAACTGTATTGTGGGTTTCCTCTTTATTTTTCTCCTTAAGTCCCCTTTTTAGCACGTAGGTGTAAAAAAGCTGTAAAAGAACTGTGAGCGAGTTAAGTGGGAAGAAGCAGCTTTAGTTTTGTGAATTGCATTCTAAAATCACACAAGTGATAGGGATGGGGTTTTTAAGATCACCGAATGATAAGTAATAGAAAAGAACCTGTGGATTAAGTTGCAAAAAAGTTCAAGAAACAGTTTTATAACATGACAAATCATATGAGTCTTAACTTGGAATTAATTCTGGCATTTCTAAAAAGCTACAATGAATTTAGAGCTCTGAGGTTCGTTAGTACTCATTATTTCTTGTATGAAAATCTCTCTATCCCAATGCTGGCGGTGGCACAGAGAGAAGCCTTGAGAGAATTTAGAATAACCCTTTCTGCACTCCACCAAAGAGAAGTAATTTATCCAGAAAATTCAAAGCAAACCCGAATACTTGGCAGTACTGTCAATGCCTCTTAATGCATCCAGTGTTTCACAAGCCACTGTTATTTTTTCTCTCGTGGTTTATAATGATACCATCAAGAAATATGAGATGTATCTATATTTACACAACCCTGAAATTGATTCAATAAAAATCAGTCACGGGCAGCTGAGAACTGACCTCTTCCATGCCTTTCATTTGCATTTTTTGGCTGAATTGTGAAGAGCAAAATGTTCCTTTACTAAGATTTCCAAATTAGTTTGCAGACTTAAGCAATACAGATGCATGTCTGATTTTTAAAAAATACTTGTTTAAAATTACTGCAGAAATTTTTTCTGAACCTCTCATTAGACTTACAGTGCAGGTTTCCTTTCCATTTATCAACAAAATGTTAATGCTAGGTCTTTTGTAACTGCCTGACACAAGTTGATACTAAATTAAGATCATCATACCATTTGGCGTGCCTAGGTATTAAGGAATCGGATGGAAGCGTTTGTGCTTGAATAATTAATACAATCAAATGGTGTCAGGAAGGAGAAGCAGCAAGCTAAACTACCTGACCTTTCTTCATTCATCCGCTTTAATTTAACTCTTTTTTGCTGAAGTAATTTGCATTTCATCTCTCATCCTGTAGACCAGCTTTATGCCTGAAATGAGTAGAAGAGAAATGTCAGTAGGATTTGGTCCTTTATGCTGTTATTATCATGTCTCACGCAACGCGAATTGGTTTTCTGTCTGATGTAGTTCAAGAGGAAAAGGATGAGCTCCTTAGCTTTGGATGTCAAGTGTGTAAACAGCGCCTTTATGATAAATATCCCAAAAGCAGAAGTTTGCAATATTACCTGACTGTAGATCCTGATGTAGTTCTGAGAAAGAGCAGCAGTCATCTAGCAAGCATTTTCCATTACCAACTAAAACTTTGATGCCGCCGTTAAAGGAATTTAAGATACTTACTGATGCTTCAGGATACGGAGGAACACCAGGGAGGAACTGGTGCACCAGTGGATTAGGCTGTTTGTGAGCTATAGCACCCAGAGTCATCCCTTTAAGTAACTACCTTTCTTTTTTAGACACAGTAAAACAGACCCAGGCACGTAAATCGAGGGGCAGACATTTACCTGTGAGGGGAGGCTCATGATGGCGAGTGACTCTTAACTGAGCGGCTGAACACTGTGCGCAAGGGGAATAATCCATGGTTTCGCTACCGGTAGCCTATTCATGGAGCATCCTGGAAGGGTAAAACAGAAGGGAAAATGGGAACATCTGCAAATCTGTGTCAGTGCAGACTGAGTTACCGCAGGGTCCCATGGCAGGGCAGGCAACAATCTTCCCACCCATGGTAAGAAGGGTTTCCAACTTCCCACGTGCCCTGTAGGTTTCTGTTTACAGCTCAAGTTCCTATGGCTCACCTAGGTAGCTTTTTCACTTTTTTAGCTTTTTCACTTTTTTAACTTTTTCAGGGATAACGACAGGAATTGGCCAGCTCCTTCTTTTTTCTCTCGGTAAAGCAGCAGGCAGAGGACTTGAGTCGCTCTGCCTGTGTGGGTGCAGCATTTTAAACCAGCACTCTTTACAAACCTTCCCTAAACATTTCTCAACAGGCGAGCTGCAGTCAGGCAGACAACGAAAGCTACGTAAGAACTGATGATGAGGAGAGCTGCTTTCGGACAGACGATGAAGAAAACTTGGCTGCAAACTTCACAGAAGAGTGGAACCAAGAGGTGCAGCGTCTCTTGACAAAAAAATCACATAACTAAGTTCTGAGGACTGTAGCACAGTACTTTTGTTCTAAGAGTTGTAGTTTGTAGATGTGTGTTTTTGACAACAAGACTTTTGTTTAAAGCTAACTTATATTAGCTACATCTTCTGTAACATGGCTCATTACCGGTGAAGACAACAGACTGACGTACGTACTGCTGTTACAAAGGATGGCGGTATTAATAACTCACGTAAACCCTTTGCACATGATATTGAACCTGTTCAGTTTACAATGACAGTATGTTTATAGATAGAAATTTGATTTCTGAATACTTTGAGATTTTAGTAGATCAGTTTACTGTACACTGTACATTTTTTCCACAGAAGAAATAAAAAGCTACAATTATGCATTTAACACTGAATGATTATACTCCTGAGTGTATATATCTAATAGCCCAAAAAGCAAAGTACCAGACTATATTTACAATTTGTTTGCAAGTCTTAAAATTAAGACTTATACAAAATGTACTAAA